TTTAGAATAGTGTAACTTAGACCAAAATGTTTTTTCTTCAATCAGTAAGACCCCATGCAAAGCAGTAAAGCCACAAAGACACAAAGGGTTACAGGGTGTGGAAAAATTTGGAACAGAAACATTAATAATGAGCAGAAAGAGAAAAAAGTAATCAAGTAGATAGCAATTGACATTGCATTAAAATTTTTGAAGATTAAAGTTCGAGCTGGAAAGGAGTTTGACAAGCAAGTAGTGTCATGTGAGCAAAGAATCTGTTAGCATAAAACTTATCGCTACATCTAGCCATTTAGTAAATTGATTTGACCTCGACTCCAATCTCGTCTTTCTTTTTATGTAACATATCCTTTCAGGACATAGGCGATCATGGCTGTCTACCTCCCTCTATCCCTTGCATCTCTCAACAAGTTCCTTCTCTCTGCTTCCTCCTACAGACCATGTCTGTCATTCACTTGCTTGATGTATATTTCTTCTTTTTATGTGCCATATCCTTTCAGGATGTAGGCGATCATGGCTCTCTACCTCCCTCTATCCCTTGCATCTCTCAACAAGTTCCTTCCCTCTGCTTCCTCCCACAGACCACGTTCTGTCATTCACTTGCTTAATGTATCTTTCTTCTTTTTATGTGCCATATCCTTTCTGGACGTAGGCGATCATGGCTCTCCACCTCTCTCTATCCCTTGCAGCTCTCAACAAGTTCCTTCCCTCTGCTTCCTCCCCCAGACCATTTTCTGTCATTCACTTGCTTAATGTATCTTTCTTCTTTTTATGTGCCATATCCTTTCAGGATGTAGGCGATCATGGCTCTCTACCTCCCTCTATCCCTTGCAGTTCTCAACAAGTTTCTTTTCCATCTTCCTCAGACCATGTTCTGTCATCCACTTGCTTAAGCCCATCAGATATGTCACATGCTGTTTTCCCTTGTCTCTCTTTCCTTCTATTCGACCCTTGAGTATCAGATTCTCCAGGCCTTCCTTCCTTCAGTTGCCTCTTCATGATATTTAGTATAAGTCTCCCCCTGTCTGCAACCTATCTAATACCTCATCATTGCTCACACACTTGGTCCATGATATCCTTAGCATCCTTCTGTAGAACCACATCTCTGTTGCCTCACGTCTCTTCTTCATCGTTGAGGAAATTGTCCAACATTCGCTGCCATTGTCATGTAACAATTCAGTATTCTTTTCTTTGTTACCAAAGAAATCCTCCTGTCTCACAATACCCTGTCCAGCTTTTAAAATGTGTCCTTGGCCATCCCAATATGTCTACAGATCTCAGTGTTGCACTTGTAATCGTCTGTCAAAACGCTTCCCAGATATTTAAACTGCCACGTCTGCTTGATTCTAATTTTCCCAACCTTCAAATTGCATTTCGGGCTTATCCTCTTGCTGATGACCATGCATTCTCTCTTCTTGTAGTTTCTGCTTAGTCCTTCCTTCTCACTCTCTGTCGCTACCTTCTTGTAGGAGGTTTTGTAATTTCTTTTCTGTATCTGCTATCAGTACTGTGTATCTGTGTATCTTATGTTGTTCAGATTGTGGCCTCCAATTCTCTCAGGATTGCCTCGCTGTATAAGTTAAACAGGTCAGGTGAGAAGATGCATCCTTGCCTTACGCCCTTTTCTATTTTTGTATATTCACTAAACTCATTCCCTGTGTGCATGCATGCTGTTTGCTGCCAGTATAGGTTCTTGATTATTCTGATTTCTTTTTCAAATACATCAAGATTGCTAAGCAGTTCCATCAAATCCTTGTGGTATGCTTTGTCAAAGGCCTTTGTGTAGTCTATGAAATATAAGTACACGTCCTTCTCCATCAGTATCACTCTTTCTGTTAACATTCTGAGCATGAATATCACGTTACTTGTTCCGGTTTCTTTAACGAACCCACACTGTTCTTGTCCTATCTCTGGCATGATTCTGCTACATGCTCTATTCATCAGAATATGGAGGATGATGTTTTTTCACATGGCTCATTAGGCTGATTGTTTGGTGGAGTTTGCATTTGTTTGCACCTGGTTTCTTAGGCATAGCTATGAAGATAGATCTGATGAGGTCTTCTGGTATATCCCCACTGTTGTAGATTTCATGTAATGTTGGTTGTTCCTTTACATTGTAGAAGCGTTCTCCAATATACTCACTCTAGTGTTGAAGAATTTTTTCCTTCGCTAATATGAGCATTCCATATTTTGATTTTAGGCAACCTGTTGACGAGCATGTCTTCTGTCCTGTTAGTTGTCTTATTTGTTTGTGCATGTACTGCATTTAAATTAAAAAAAGTCTAGGTACCATAGTGAAAAGCTCATTTGAACAATTACCATGAAAATATTTATAGAAAAGGCACAGGGAGGCAAATTTACAGTGGTGGGAAAGTGACTTTTAGCCAGACTACCAAATCAGGACTAATAATATTGCTGATTCTTCTTTTGGATTTCATCAAGGAGCTCAAGGTAAATAGCAGGGGCATTGGACTATATGTGAAGAATAGGCAAATGGCAGACTTATAGATATGTAAGATGGGTTCTAGCGAGAAAAATCATCTAGTATGACACAGTAAACCAAATTTCTTAGCAGCTAACCTAACAATGGATTCAATGTAGTCTTTCCACTTCATGTCAACTGAGAATGTTAGCCTGAGTAGCAACAAGTCACTTTCCTGGAGGTTAGTAATTTTGTATCTTAGAAGGGATCAGTAACATTTGTTAACTCTACTCTAAATTCTATTTAGGATTTTACACGTGTTAATTATTTCAACTTCTGTGAGAAATGTTCTTGGTTTGATCAAGAAAGGATTAAAAAAATAAAATTCTGATATTTGGTCATATTAGGGGAAGTGGTTGGACTAAGAACTTTTCAGCACCCTCTTGTATAGCTTATTTCACCTGTATGTTACATGTAATAAACTTGAAGGGCATTTGAACAGAATTCCTTATTTAGCTAATATATCTTTTAATTTTTTTGCTTTGTTTAACCACCATGAATTAGAATAATTTACAGATCTGAATGGCAAAGATTCTGACTCTCCCTATAACTTTCAGTGCGGGTGATCATAGTACTCCACAATTTTCTTTCCATTCTCCCTCTCAAGTCTTACACATTCTAACTATGGCATATGGGGGCCACAGCCACAACAAAGTAGGTTTTTTTACAGGACAATGTTGCTAGCCTCATGCCCAACTGGTTTTGAATTCAATGTTGTTCTTCTCCTAGACTGGTTGCCAATCAAGGTTGAAGAGCTCAACCTGTCCTACTATTTAACCCATACCTGGGGGAGAAAAGTCAGATTTATATATTTAAGAGTCTATGGGCAAAAGGGAATGTAACAAACTTGACTTGCCAATTTCTTGTTCTGAATGACTAACCATTGTACCCTCTGGCAGGGAAAGAACATTAGTGATTGTAATTACCATTGTTCTAATTGGAATCAAAACAGAAGTTATAAAAAAACTTCTTAAGAGACTTTGTTGAAAGATTCTTGAAGATTACCAATACCAAATATACCAAGTATATTCTGTTTGAAATGCACTGACTAAAATAACAAGGATGAGAACATTACAGGATAATGACTATTATTCATTTTAGACTTTAAATTTATTTTTCTTTGAAAGCCATTTCTATTTTAACCCAAGAACATCAGGTTGCTATAAATAATAATCACTGTGTCAAGCTAGCAATTCTAAAGCTCCTAATTAACTTCTGTAAAGAAGAACCAACTGTAAAAAAATACTTTTAATTTAAAAGAACATGGATATTCATGAAAATTAAGGAATTCTTGCCACACACAATGATGTGACTCTGCAATAAGAAAATGTACAAAGTTGAAAAAAGAATAAAAAAGCTGTTTTGTCTTGTTTAGGCCCAACTCTCATCAACAACAAGCTGGATGTATTTTTGACTCCAAGAACTACTAACTGTTGAGCTATTTTAGAACTAAATCTAACGAACTTTGCAGTTTTCTTTCATTAAGTGATTTTAATGAATGTTGCAATTAATTTTGATCACTTTACATGTAACAAAAATGTTGGAGAACGAGAAAGTTCTTTTTGGGGAAAAAAACAAACAAACAAAACAATAAAAATACTAATCAAGCTTAGTTTCTCTGAAAGTCAGGTTCTTTTTTTTTTTTAAATCAAGTTTCTCAATTTTCATTTGCTTACTTTATTTTTTGATTTTAGTTTTTTGGCTGAAAAAGAAAACGAGAGTAAATTTGGTATATTTTTTTAGTACTTGTACACCATTTTAAACAGTTGAAGTAATCACAATTAAATACTACTTTACATCATTCTAGATCAATGTTTTTAAATCTTTATTTTTATTTCACAGCACATTTGAAACTATCTGTTATACATCTCTGGCACATTGATGATCAAAAAAAAGAGTAAAGAAAGAATATACTTTTTATAATTTATTTATTAACACAAAACAATTTATTATAATTCGTAATAAAAAGATAATTAAAATTTTTAAAAAAAGTTTATATTTATTTTTCCTTTTATTATAATTTAACATTTAATGAGATATCGAAGCTTGTTTTTTTTTAAAATATCTTTGCAAGATCAAAATTTGGGCAGGCATACTCTTCAATCTTCTTCCAAGAATTCTAGCGATGAATGATTTTTGTTTTTAACATTGTTTATTGCAGTAAAGCTTGATTTTTATATTATTTCATATATTATGTATATGTTTATTTATAATAACAGTGATATAGTTGTATAATCATTTTAGAGGGGTTTTAATTTTTAATGATATGTATGCCTAATGACCTTTAAAATTTTCATGGCATATCTATGATCCTCTCATGGCACATTGGTTAAAAATCATTGTTCTAGATTTTCAGTATTTTATTTCTTTGCTTATTGGCTGAAGACTTTGGTCAAGAATATGAATGGAGGAACTCTTATTGATTAACAATGAGCTGAAAGATTTTCCTTGGACAAATAATGCTTTTTATTTCTATTTTTTGTTTTTCATAAATATAATGATAAATTAAAAGAATCCAGGGGCTTATGGCCATATTGTATTGAAACACCTGTTCTCATATGACCACCCAAGTTAAGCAATGCCAAGTCTGGTCAGTAACTGGATGGGTGATTGGGAATACCAGGTGCTGTAAATTTGGATGTGCAAGCGGTGTAATGGACAATGGCTCAGAATTGGAAGTTGCAAGATTGTGTTCCAGTTTTAGATAGGTTTGTTATATTCACTTATACCCAAATACCCTTGGGACAGGTATGATTCCACTTCTTCTCCCTCCAGCTATGGGTTAATTAGTGTCACTTGTATCATTAAAACATTATTATCTAAATAAGCTGTAGAAAACCAACCAAAACAACATAAAAGATTCCAGAATGTTTTTTTCTGTATTTTTTGATGTTGATAATAATTATTTCAATATTGTTATCATTAGCAAAATCTTTAAAAAATGTTTTTATTTAAAAATACAGTTTATTTTAGAAATGCAGTGTATTGATTCAAATATATTGCAATGTCCTATTTTTACATGTGAAAAGCTTGAATGCATTTTATTTTTGTCTATAATGGAAATGCTACTCTGTGCAAAAAGTGTGAAACAATTTTTAGGTTGTGCAACGTGTTGGTTTAATGATTTTAGGAACTCTTGTAAACCCTGAATTTGGATCACTTTGGCTCCTTAAGAGGATAAAAGAATGGTGGTTTCTGCTACAAAAATGTATTCACCAGCCAGCCGTATATGTAAAGTAGCTACTCATGAGAAGTAAATTAACATTGCAAGTCATTTTAGCCAAGCAAGGGCAGCTATATGTAAAGGCTGGCTCTTTATGAAATGTGCCACTTCAGTTTGACTGTCATACATTGCAGTTATTTTAATACAAGTAAATAAGATTACCAAATTTTACATTACTGTCAAATATGAGCCTCCATATTGGCTTTTGATTCTGCTGCAAAATTACTTACATCCTATCCAAATAAGTGCAATTATTCTATGCATGAAAATTGATTTTTATAGTTTTCTTAGATTCTTGAAAGTGTAGTGAGTGCAAAATAATAATAACTCCCTTCACCCACTCCCTTCAAATTCAGAGGACTGAGGAAGATAGAAAGAAATTTCTGAGCCTATGTGAGATTTTTGCCTTTCCAGAAATTAACTGGCCAGCTGATGAAGAAATAAATAAATTTGCAAGCCTATGTGAAATTCTGTTAGACCAAGAAAAACCTTGCCTTCACAGATATTAACCAGTGAGCATATGCAGAATTTGTTTTGATATAAAACGAGGAAAAAATTAAATTAATCAGAAGAATGGCTGAAGTCATGTGCAAGGTTTTGTTTCAATTCCTTGTGATTGGTGTTAAAGTACTTGCTAATGTAAAATTACTCACCAATTATATTATTGGTCTCTAACCAGCATATGTGGCACTTCAAAGAATTTTCTTTCTATAATCCAAGAATGCAAAGTATTTCAAACTATCTACTTTTGTACAAACTATATGTCACATTGTTATAGAGTTTTCTTTATTTATTTTCAAAAGAGTTTTACCTAGTTGTTACAAGCTTTTTAGCAATTATTTATTGTTTTTTTTAATTGATTGCAATATCCTCTAAATAATGTCAAGGAATCTTTTGTACTTTTCATCACATTGGAAATGTTTTGTAATATTAGTCTGGGTAAAAAACGATTGTGATGAGATTGTGATTTGTCTCTTACCTTTCAGAAGCTTTATGCTTAAAAGTCAAGTGGAAAGCCTTCAACTGACTAGTGACTAATGGCAACAAAGTACTTACACAAACAAGGACCAACGGTGGTTCAAGTCAGTGGTAGATGATAAATGCTTGTGTTGGTTGACAGTCTTGGAAATTCTTTGTGGTTAGGAAATGAAAGAATTTTTAACTGCTTAAAGTGTTTTTTTTTCTTTCTTTTTCCCTGTTAATTCTTCTCTCATTTTTCGATGTAAATATATTAAAAGGATTGGTTTTAGGAAATAAGTTATTAGATATAACGCTCTAAAAAGTACCAAGTGTCCCACAGGGAACAAAAGCACTGGTAAAATTCATTTGGTTCTTTGGGGGTTGTGAGTTCAACTCTTGGGTAGGTAATAGAAATATATACCAATTCGGTGAAGAAATACTATAAAGAAGAAATAATGGCTTTAATTTCTGAATTTTCCTGTGAATGACACTACATTTAGGGTAGGGAAATTAATATTCGGTGTGGGGAGGTCTCAATATGTAATAAACAGAGTAGGGGGTCTTAATAAAAGGTGGAGTCAGAAAATCATTTAAAATGATCAAAAGTTCAAAATTCATAAATGGACTGGTCTTAATAAAATTGGCAGTAAAAAAAAAAATTAATAAATGTTCATCTTTTCCGTTAAAGATCTCCAAGTAGACATGATAAGAAAAGGCATGAGAACAACATAACCCTGTAGTGTACATAAAGCGTTCTGTAAATCTGGTGGCCCAAGTAAAATGGTTTCTTTTGAAGGTTACTGTATGTTAAAGACACCTGATTGCTATCAAAATATTGGATATATATTTTTTTTAATCATTTCACCCCAAATAAGGCAACAAAGCCACTAATATGCAGGGGGGGGGTTACTGGGTGTGAAAGAATATAAGAAAAACATTAAGGAATGAGAACAATAAAAGAACAGGAATTAAGAAAGCAGAACATAACGATTGACATTGCATTTAAAATTTTGAAAATCAAACTTGACTGGAAAACCAGAAGAGATTTCCACAAGTCAGAAGTGTGAGAAAAGAAACTGTTAGCATAGAACTTATAGTTATATCAAGCAATTTAAACTGCAAAATGATGAGATCTTACTGCCAATCTTGTACTGCACTTAAATTCATGGTAACTAGACTTTACCATAGAGGAGAGTTCATCAAAACAATTACCATGAAAGTATTTATAGAAAAGGCAAAGGGAAGCTACATTTTGGTGGTGAGGTAGAAACTGAAAGTAAGATGTCAAGTCAGGACCAATGAAAAACAAAAGCAATAAAAACAGAAGCATGAATTTAAGTGCAGTACTTGTTTGGCTGCTAGGTTTCATAATTTCACTTTCAGTTGAAAGTATTAGTTGTAACCATAAGTTTTATGCTAATAGTTTCTTCTCTTGCACGTTCCATTTATAGGACTCTTTTCTGATTTCCTGCTTAATTAAAATCTTCAAAAATTTAAATGCCATGTCAGTCAACACCTTGTGTCTCCTTGAATCCTGTTCTTTTATTGTCCTTTGTTTCTTTCCTTCTCAGTAACCCCCCCTTGCATCCTAGGGATTTTATTTCCTTGCTTGAGGTAAAATTATTAAAAGAAAGTTTGAGAATTTGAATGAAGTTGGCTTACTTGTATGTCTAGCTACAATTGACATCAGATATTTAAATTCAAAAGTTTAACTTGACTATATCTTCAGCATTCCACTTGATCTATAATTATAACAAATGTTTTTGTTTATATTTTTACTCCCTCCTCCTACATATATATAATTCCATCAATAAGAACATTATTTTAGTCTGAAGTTTTTTTTTGAAGGACAAAACATGTTACATAGAATTTTTTTTTCCACTTTATCATCCAATTATTCACAATTAGTTTGATAGTCCAATATGTGGTAAAAACAACCCAGAAGATGAAATCTAAGAGAATAAAAATATAAAAGTAATAAAAACTTGTCTGAGAAATTCAGACAAGAATTAGTTTTCTTTCAAAATTGAACAATATTCTGTTGAACCAGTGCCAAGTAAATGACCACTTGAAAAGTGAATGTCTGCAACTTAATTAACTTCATGTATTTGACATTATTAAATGAAAATCTATTTAATGGAAATGTTTTGATTAATTCAGAATATAGTTTGAGTTTTTCATGCAAATGATTTGAAATTAAAATGATACATTTGTTAATACAAATGATAAAAAGGGAATTTTGGTCAGTGAATTTTAGAGAAACTTTCAGTGAAATCATCCAAGATGTCTTGGAAGATAATTTACTTTATAAATATAGAAATACACGCACACACAAACACATACATACATACATACATATATATATATATATATATATAGAAAAAGTTTCAAATTAAAAATTATAATGTTTTATTTTATGAAAGTATTTATTTATTTATATATATTTGATTTGATATTTCAAATTGTCCTCAATTTTTCATCAGAAATAACTGTTTTGTTACAAATAAATTAAAATTACTGTTTGTTGGCAAACACCGTCCTTAGGATACAGCCATCGGACGTCACGTGATATGGAACGTCACTGTTCAGATATTCCCTAACCAAAATCTAACTGTCATAAATATTTTTAAAAATATTTTTTTACTATATCTAAAGATAAACAAAGCTATTGAAATATTTAAAAACCCTAAAACACCTATCCCTAAACACTACTAATTTATGTGTTTAACTTTAAAATCAATATGTTTATTTTTTTTCTGCGTTTGAATGTGGACAAAACGCAGAAAAAAATAAACATTTTGATTTTTTCTAATGTAAATACATTGAAATTAGGGTTTTAGCTATGGACTTAGGTGTTTTAAATTTTTTTGACGTTTGTTTGCTAAGCATTTTTTAGATATAGTAAAAAATATTTTTAAAATATTTATGACAGTTAATATATCCAATATTGAACATAAGTTTCCATAATGAATAATAGATGACGTCCGCATCTCGCGAAGGACGCTAGGTGGCTGTATCCATATTGGTGGTAATTTTAATTTATTTGTAAATTAGTTATTTTGATGAAAAATTGAGGACAATTTGAAATATCAAATATATATATAAATAAATAAAACTTTCATAAAATAAAACATTATAATTTTTTATTTGAAACTTTTTCTATATATACATATTAAGAAAGTATACGTGGCTTCTCATTATATATATATATATATATATATATATAATTTTGTATTTAGATAGCAATCTCTCATTCATACATGTTTCATTAAAGATGACAGACATGGTACAGCGATTAAGCTTTTTATTCAATTTTTCTTGTGCTCAAACAAGTCTTTTCTTTTCTACAGAGTGTGTAGAAACTGTTCAAATGTTCTGTAATTCCAAGCACTTTTGGGTATACTTTTAGTATGCCGTTTCCAAATCTCTGGTTGTGTAAATTGCATCA